AAAGATGGGGTACATTGACGTTGTGGCAGGCTTATGCAATGTATGATCATATAATGTAACTAAGCCCCCATTATTTTTGCCTAGATTAGGTGTTTTTAAAAAAACAAATAAAATCTTTCAACATTGAAGTTGCTGTTTAGTGGATAGGTGAGTGCGCTGGATCTTGTGTATTATATATATATATATGTGTGTGTGTGTGTGTGTACACACACGCTGAGGAAGTTCACCTTACGAATGGAGAGACCGCTAACGAAAGCTCCAATCAGCCGAACAGGAACCATACGAAATCCTTCACGTATCAAACAGCCGAACAAGTAAACCATACGAATCCAGTACTCCAAAGTACGAGACCAAGCTCCGTATTGAGGGTTAAGCAGAGATCTGATTTTAACGTGGGCTACCTCCTGGACAGCTCACTAAGAATGCAGCTTCACAATGGATGCTGTCCAGGAGGTAGGAGGGTCTGCTGCTGATTGGCTGGAATGTGTCTGCTGACTGTGAGGTACAGGGTCAAAGTTTACTCAATGATGAGTCTGTGGCGAACAGTTCGGGACATCACTAATGATGATATAATCAGTAAAAGTGTTTTTTGTTTTTGTTTATGAATGCTAACTTTGGCCAAGGTTTGTGACTAAGTGGCTACTAAAACAGACTGGACATGCCACATTTTTAATAACCTGGGTTGTCTTCCTTTACAAATGGTATGCCATGATGGGGTAATTCTCATTCTTGGGATGCCACATGGGCTCAAAGGCAATATAACTAATCTGGAAAATATATGATATGAAATGAAAGCCCTGTTTTTCCAGAACAAAATTATATATCATAAAGCGTGGGTGCACTTAATATGAAATAAGTGAATTATGGTTGAACATATATATCTATATCTATATCACAAATGCAAACTTTTTTTTAATGTTTTGTTTTGATCAGAACTTGTACAATTGCCTTCGTCCTCAAGGGGTTAAAGTAATTATCAAAAGTCAACATATGGTCACTCATGAGGTAAATATACAATACTCTGCATCCAAACTTATTTACTCATGAAACAGCATTTATAAAACATTAGGTAATGTGCTAGAAAAGCTTCAAGTGTTCTCTGTGACAATAGGACTTTAGAAAAAAAAATAATTTAGCCCTCAAGCTAGATTTCTAACAGATGACAACATTCTGAATCAACCTTTTGCAAACTTGAGTGAATAAAAATAAAGAGAGAATATATTACACCACATGTACTCTACCGGGCAAAACAGAGGGATGCAGTTCTGATTTTCAGTCTGTGCCAGGGAATATATAGAAATTATCTATAGTAATGTTATCAGATGTTGCACAGTGTTAAAATATATTGCATTATTATCTTTCTCTTTTTCTCTTTGAGGTGGACTATTTTGGAGTACTTCTATTGGCTCATGTACGTACATTTGCACTCATTGCACTTTAAGGTCACTCTTCTGGATCAGTTTATCTAGTTTTCTTTCTTTGTGGATTGATTATTAAACAAGGTTTTGGGAATTCTTCATAGATATACTGCATCCTATACTTTTGGGAAATAATGAGCCCTTATAAACCTTCCCTTTTTTTCAATTATATGCCAGAGAATTCTACAATCAGAGCCTTATTTTTAATAGTAGCCTCTGTGCTGGAGCTTTGAACATGCACACACTGGGCTTTCCAAAGCAAGTGTACACTAGTAGAGTTGAGCGAACCCGGACTGTAAAGTTCGGGTTCGTACTGAACATTACGTTTTTTGGACCCCGGACCCGAACAGGGACATATCACTGTATGTTCGGGTTGGAGTTCGGTGTTCGGCGATTTTAATGGCGCATTTTGAAAGGCTGCAGGGCAGCCAATCCACAAGCGTTTGACTAATGGCATGGCTGTGATTGGCCAGTGCAGCATGTGACCCAGCCTCTCTATATAAGCTGGAGTCACGTAGCGCTGCAGGTCACATGAGCTCCTATTAGTGTAGGGAGAGCTTTCAGGGATGGATTAGGAAAGAATTCTGAAAACTAGTACATTTGTGGGGTGCACTTCATATCTGAGAGTCAAATAGAAGCATCAAATACTGTGGTTACAGCGCAATTGTAAACATTCTTTTCTGGGTGCTAAACTGCTAAATCGTAAATTTGGGGCCTGCACTTCATATCTGAGAGTCAAATAGAACCATCATTCATTGTACTTACAGCGCACTTTGAAAAATTCAAATTGTTTTGGGTGATAAAAAGTAAATTTGGGGTGTGCACTTCATATCTGACAGTCAAATAGAACTGTCCAATACTGTGGTTACAGCGCAGTTTGACCAATTCAAATTTTTTTGGGTGCTAAATAGTACATTTGCGGCCTGCACTTCATATCGGACAGTCACATAGAACCGTCAAATACCAATATAACAATATTGTAATTCGAGGGAAATACCCTCACACAAGACAAATTGAGAGGTCAGTTTATAGGGAAAACTGTTGCCTGGATACAATTCTAAAACAAATCCTATATGTCCTTTGCAGAGTTTACATGCTGGAAGAACACAGGTGCCAACTGTGCATACCGGCAAGGAGGGCAGAGTTAAGGAGTGGGTGGAAGATGATGTGGAGGATGATGAGATCCTAGACCCCACATGGAATCAAGGTCATACGAGTGACGTGTGCAGTTTGGAGGAAGAGGCGCTGGTCGCACAGAGGCACCAGCACAGCATAAGAGGGAGCAGGGTGCAAAAGCAGAGCAGCCGTCCCCTAGCGCTCGTCAGCATGTATTATCTTTAAAATTCCCACAGTTATCCACGTAACAGTTGAAGCGATAAAAAAGATCCATAACAGATTTAACAAGCCTTTCGCAGTCTGGTGACCGGGACCCAGTATGCCTGATGTTGAAGTTAGGAGTCACAGTGTGGAATGGATTTGCAGGATAACCGCATGCCCCCTGGTGTTGAGCACCAGCATTTGTGTGGCTACATACCAGGACCCTGATGCAGCTTCAGTAAAAAGAGTACTGGATACCAGAAGCCGTCACCAGACTGATCCGCAACTTGGAACAGGATGTGACATTTACTGTAGCGGCTGTGCACACTTTCGGCGTTCTCACCCTGCTGCTTGCCTGTCTGCGCTGCAGTGTAACTTTGGCCTTCCCGCTCACCGCCTCATATGCGACGTGCCCACAAGGTGGAACTCCACCTTGCACATGCTGGAGAGACTGTGCGAGCAGCAGCAGGCGATAGTGGAGTTTCAGCTGCAGCACACACGGGTCAGTCGCTCTGCACCAGACTTGGCCTCCAATTGATCATAGTTAAAGGATTTCAAGTGGACTCATTACAATTACAGGGCCTCTAAAGTATTGTTATTTGTCGTCACTACCTCCCCGTGTTGGGAGTGGGTAATTTGCACGCCTGCTACCTTCCTTGGATGTAGTAGCCGTTTCTCAGGCTCCCTCTCTGGAATCGAACCCTGATTCGCCGTTACCCGTGGTCACCATGGTTGGCGCAGAAAGTGACATTAATAGGGCAGACATCCGAATGCAAAGTCGCAGTCACTGGGACGTGCAATTGGCCAGAGGTTCACCAAAGTGCCTGCGCAACTATAATGTCAACAGCTACTCTGCCGAACAGATCTTCACTAATAGGTAGGGGATAGAGGGGCGCCCTGTGCCGGTCCCTTCTCTTCCCCACTCTCTGGCAGACATCTGGCAGTACTGCCTCAGATCCTGAGAGATGCCTGGCCAGAAGAAGCTGTGGGTGAGCCGAGACGCTGTCCGGCTCCTGCCCAAATGCCCTGCCAAGGGGATATCGTGAGCTAGCTTCAGCAGCTCTTACCAATACTTCTTGGGTCTGGGGCTGGTGGTCTCTCACAAGCCGTGTTATTGGGGAGCCCATTGAAAAAGTGATCTAGCATGATGAGTTGGGTGATCTCCTCCAGGAACTTGGCTTGATGTGCGTTGAGCCGGTTCTGGGTGGCCCTTGTGATGCGGCATGCCCACTCCGCATGGGAGTCCTTCTACCTTTTCCGGGTTTCCCTAAACTTTCGGCGTTATTGCTAGGGGGTGACAGCATACCGGGCCAGGAAGATTTGTGTAATAAAGGGATAGTCTCTGATCTGCTCTTCTGCTACATATCCACTGCCTTCCCCACTAGTTTGCTGGCCAGGATGGTGACCCAGTCACTGGGGTCCACGTCTTGGAGCAGGCACTGGTGCTCAAAGTCTTGTAAAAAGTCATCAATGCCTTCTTCTGCTTCCTTGAACTCTAATATAATGTGGAGTGGCAGATATTTAAATAATGACCCTAAATGTTAGGGGATTAGACATCCCAGAGCAACGTACCATACTATTTAATGAATTCAATAAGTGTTCAGCTGATGTTTGCTTTGTTCAAGAGACACATTTTAAAGAGGGCTCTGCACCAATCCTAATGTCTAAATTTATCTCACAGGTGTATTATAGCAATTTTCAAAAAGGGAAATCGAGGGTAGCAGTTACATTTTCAAAATAAGTGAATTTCTTATTAACACAAAGCATTACTGACTCCCAGGGGAAATTTTTGATTATTAAAGGATTATCGAATAACATTAAATTTACATTTGCTAATATCTACATACCCAATAAGTATCAAATACCCTTTATAAGATGGATTTTAAACAAATTAGAAGTGTTTACTGAGGGAATATTAGTAGTGGGAGGAGATTGGAACTTGGCATTGGTCAGAGGTTGGATAGCACTGATAGCACCAGGGGTAGAGACTCACTTAAATTACAGAGAATTCTGTTCCAAAAATATTATTCTCACATCAATTAATAGATATTTGGCAAATGGCAAATCCATCAGAAAGGGATTATTCTTATTACTCCCATTCTGCTAATAATTATTCTAGGCTGGATATGTTGATGATTCAGCATAGATATCTTCATTTAATACAAAGAGTAAATATGGGTAATATCACCTGGTCAGATAATGCCCCAGTTTTTTTGCATTTAAAAATCCCTGAGTTGCAATACCCAAAATCAACAGAACATTGGATATATATTTTAAGGAACATGTACATCTGAATATTGTTATTCCATGGATCTGGGATGCACATAAAA